GAGCGCGTCGGCAAACATCGTTTCAATGTCCGGGATAAAATTACTATTCCAATTGCCAAATAGAATGATCAGCTATTGGTAATTGACTTCTCAGTTGTAGGTAATCAGGAGAATACCGCAAGAAGTTTGACCATCTGTGATGAATGCGAGAACCTTATATATAGTAGTGTAACGGCTGCATTAACAAAATAAAGTAATCCTCCCATCGACTGTTACCCTCATGTGTTTCTGTCTCTGATGTTGAGTTCAAATAAAAACCAAACCTGCAGGAGGAATTATTTTTGTTCCCGTAATAATCTCCCCTTCCCCGAAAGGCCCTTTCATTTTTCCTTGTTTTTGCCAATTAGGCTTTTTGAATAGGTAGAAATAACTTGTTAATGTGGATATTCATTACCGTATATTTATTAATGACATTGAACTGTTTTATAACAGCATTTGATCTATACTTCGAATAATGAAGATAGCTGATGAAAGTTTGGAGAGCAAAGTGGCCTTCAAGAACGCATATGTGTTGCCTGTGACTCTCACGTGAAGGAATGTTGAAAAGCGGTAAACGGTTATGATTTATGCGAAATTACTCAGTTTGCACTCAAATCTTGACAGCAATGTTGTTGCTAAAGGGCTATTTATGGCTAAAAGGGAATAGACATCGCTTTCGTTTTTAGGATTTCAAAAACTCTATATGACACAATTACCGGATATCATCCTTTAAATAGTACGTATGGTGCTCATCGTGGACTAAAATATGTCTTGTTAGCGGTATTTTTAAATCTAAACAGGAAAAACAATCAACGCAGTCTCAGGTTTTCCCCTAAGAAAACACTTTTAAAGCAATTAACCATTTCCGTCATGTAGAAAATTGGAGAAAGGCGTAGCATCCTATGGAAACAGTTAATCAAGCGGGTCCCTGTGCAGTTTAAATTAAAGTATCTAACTTAATACACATAAATATAAATTATCAGCAGACAAAAAATACCGCACAAATTATAATATTTTTGGAATACACGCATGGTTCATTAGAGATCTAGGTCTTAATAAGCAAGATACCAACCTTTATTCCCCTCACCTCAAACCAAAGAATCGAGTAATGTCTCACAAGTTTTGGTGAATAGTGCAAGTCGAAATTCCTCACTATAATTTAGTTTCCATACGAGACATGCAGTCGCTGCACATCAAGTTGCAGCCACTTAAATGCCGGTAGTTATTGAGTAGCGAAAATGATAGGTGGATCTCAAAGTAAGAGATGTTAAAAGTGCTTGAGACAAAAGTGGAGTTTGAAATAACCGGAGGAAATAAATCTCCCCTCTTTAGGACGAAAGACTAATCAGGTGTCCATTTTGGAGGAGGGTCTGTTAACGCTCCTGCTGGTAACGTTGAATGGCTCTTAACAGACATAAACACGGAAACAAAATTGATCTCACGCCTTACAAACAGGCAAACACGTTCTGTCATTTGACGTACAGCCCTACGAGAGAGGGTAAGAGAAAGAAAGCTCATGATTCCTAAATTTCATGTGACTTACTGCTTTAAGTACTGGACGCAGTTTCCTCATCGTCCAAAGGAGATGCAGCACGTGGCAAGCTACATGAGAGGGGTTGGTGTGGATCTCTTCCGACTCTTGACAGCGCATGCTTGGGTAATCCACATGGGCGAGGTACTGACATCGATTCGCGCCGCCCAGTTCAACAAAACGTCTATAAATAAAGCTGTGAATTAAAAATCTTTGTCTCTGAAACAATTTATACGAGAACGTTGATCGTTTTAGATAGAGATGCTGGTTGTTTTATTATGAACAAAAAATAAAGTTCCAACTTTTAGTCATGTTGTGAAAAGTCATCAATAAACTATTTGCGCAGTAGCATAAAGCTTTTAATCAACAGGCTGGAAGGGCATTTTACGGACTCTAATAGAACAGGCTGAATTGAGTTTATTTACTTAAAAGAAATCTGTTCAGCAACCGAAAGAACTCTTTTAAATCATATTCATAGAGGAAACATGTAAAAAACAAAACCAGATTAGTTGTATAGCGGGATGGCTTTTGCCTGGGCGTTGACTAGCTGAAGCATCAGAAGTAAATTACGGTGTCGGCAATTCGATATTGCCCCAAGGTACATTTTTTTCTAAATTAACACAGTCTGTCTGCAGCATTAATAATCTAAGTTCCAGCATCATCGTGCAGATATCCATGGTCAGTAAAAATTTAACAATAATCTGAACGGCAATCACAAACTTCTTTGGAACTTATTCTTCCGGCCCAGTTTGATAATCATTTGTGCCAACAAGATGAGGTCCGAGTAATAAGATAAAAATCATGTAAAGTAAACTTTAATTCTCCTAAGGATCAGCGATACGATGCAAAATAGCACCAGCGCTTTCAGACCGCACAAGGCTGGTTACTTTAGGGAGCATGGATTCAGGAAGCATATGCTGATAAAACACCTTCACGTTTTGGTGTCGATAGGACGAAGGCGCGTCCAGTTGGAACCTATCAGCTTGCATACTGCGAGCAGCAACAAAGTAATTCATTTTCGAGTATACAGGAAATTATATACAAAAGGTGATTTAGCCCCATAAAATGTATTAAGCATACTATCGAAGCTCTAACTTTTGTGTGCCCTGTATGAACACTATGTCGTCTAGCAAATAAAGTACGGCTCCGAATTCTGCTACATGGCAACATTTGCGAAAGACTGATACTCACTCGCTAATCGGCACTGAGCAAGGCAAATTTAGCATACTCCTTCTTGATAAGTATACAAGTAGAAGTTTTAATATAAAATGATGAATATGCAGCACGATAAAGTGGTTTCACTATAGTAAAGAAACACTTCCGGGTAAATATAGCGTTATCAAAAAGCAAAGTCTATATAACATAAGGGTTTACTAGTATAACACGATTGAGCAATTAAGTTGATGCTTTACTAATTGAGGCAAATGTTCGCATCCCAGTTATGCGTCTAGATAGATAAGTAGAAGGCGCTCCGATTACCGGAGTCACAGTTTTACTTGTCCGAGATTCCGGGCTCTTTCTGGAGTCCATCGTCGGAGACGTCGTGTATGGACTGCTAGTATTTTCTATTTAGATTTGCATTTGAACCCGTCACAAAAACGTTTTGTTTGCAGTTTGTTTGCGATCTCATACGTTGGCGGCTGTTTTGTTTGTCAATTCACAGTCACAAATAACCTAAACCTGAGGGAATTAGTGATCCGGGGATGTTGCATAGCTGTAATGGATTATAATCTACTTTGAGAAGTACTAAACAGCAGCTCTTCGAATTAAATTTTCTAAAATTACAGTCAAGTCCTGTGACATGCGGCAGAACAGAAAACGTGCAACTTATGTACTGAGCAAAGTCGAGCTGTCCTCGAAGGATAGTTAAGCAGAGAAGCAAGAGAGGAACAAGTCGTGCGGCTGAAAATCGGGTTTCATGGTCAACAACCGCGCGGGACACAGGCCGTTGGATCACCGTGGGCGGACTGTCCGTGGTGGAGGGAAGACTGTCCACAATCACAGGCAATGCATGGCTTCCGAGAAGATCACGCGTCTCGGGTTCAACAGACAGATTTCGGAGGGCGCTGGCCGCAGATGAGACAATGGCACAGACGGGGGCGTGAAGAAGTTCCACAATAAGAGGGAGACCGCAGAGTAGACGAACCTGTGTATCAAATGTAGGTTAACTTAGAGCGTAGACTTATTACGATATACTCCTAAAACATAATAAGCTTCTGACCTAAAATCATACAGATAGGGTTCGGAGACTTTCGAATTAGCAGGTTCCCACCTTAGTGACAAGGCTAGATTTCTAGGTATGGATGAAGGAATTGTGCATGATTTGAAAAAAAAGTGAGCTGGCTACCTTACATTACACTTTTATCTTGGCTGGTAGTCACCAAAGGCGCCCTAGCTTAAATTAGCGATTCTGCTATAGGTAGTTCATTCTTCTACGCTGCATAATAGGATTAAATCTTGAACTTAACTAAAAACCTAGAATCAGATTTTTCTGTTGTTTGCACGAGGGCCTGAGAATTCAGTATTTGCTACATCTTCCAGATAAGTTTATCAAATTTAAATCCACCTAGAGGTAGTTTTACTGGGAAGTACGATGCATTCCGCCTGATAGCCGTTGAGACCTGTCTATCGTGGAGCGTCCACAACAATGCTCAAAAGTGGTAGAGGTAGCTGCCGGATACAATGCACGTCGCCGATATGAAAGCCTTCAATAGTAGGTTCTTCTTTTTTGAATCAGATATTCTAAACTGTTCTCTGAAACTCGCCGATTCACATATATCGAAAATGTTTATCCTTCCTCGTTTCATTGTCATAATAATTTCCTGATACAATTACACATTAGCGTATTTCGTTTCCCCGACGAATCAGCGAATGCCCTCCTTCTCGCGTTCTGGATGCGGTTCATTTAAGTAGCCGCAGTTTACCTGCGATGTCTTTCGTAAAAATACATTCCTTTATCACTTTGTTTAGTTATGAAATACTCTTTTAAAATCCTCAAAGGTGGAAAGCTGCATACCTCATTACCCTTTAATCCAGGCTGTTAATCGCAATTTGAAAAACATTTCAAATCCTTTGCGACTATTCAACATACCTCAATATCGCAATATATTTCGACAGGATGATTCCGTTTGGCAAAAGTTATAAGCAATAGTATTCTCTCTAACTTGTCTAAGTAACTTTTACTTGCTTCCTACTGATCAGAGAGGTTTAAGCCCAAAACAAAGGCTGAAAATCTTTAAATCCTTGGCACCAACTACAAATAGCGCAACTTGTCTCCCAGCATGATTAAGCAAAGAAGCTTTTGTTGGACCAAACAGGCATACGTTATCGCCCGCTATAAAGTTAAGTTCGGCAAGGATCACACGGAACGGACTCATTATTTTCGACTTACTGGCGTCCGCCAATTCTAATTGTGTATAGAAACTCGCGTGCAACTAAGGCCGCCAATCGATTCGGCGCGCATAAAGAAAGCCTGGCGCTCGGTTCGTCGTTTGCGCTTAAATTTGGTTATTCATGGTTAAAATGACAGATGGGAGATTTAAGTCACAACACATCCCACGCGTACTGGTCGTTTGTCCACAAACTACTGGCATTTAGGATCGCCTTACGACCAGAAGTATCATGAACCCTGCACCACTGCAAAGTTGTCAAAATAGGAAATAATCGGGAGCGAAATAAGCTCAATAGATCACGGAATTGATTCTGATTTCTCCTGGAAGTCAGTAGAGAGTAACCAGCTGCTCCACCTACCCACGCATCCAGCACGTTCACACGACCAAATTAACGTTCAGCTGTTTTTTTACAAATATACATGAGTACAATTGTATAGTACAAGCAAATATTTCGGGAAAATATACGCAAAACAGGTGCTTACTATAACACTGAGGACGAATGGCTTGTCATCAGTTAAGGTAGTGATCATCAGCTTACTCGATTTTAATAAGTACGAACGTAAACATCAATTTGGTTTATGGTTTTTAAGAGCAGGGGTGCAAATGTGTTTAATGCGCACAACTAGATTATCCAAGGCCTCCAAAGTGGATAAGTGTTGATTATGGTGCTAGGCGCATATAGTGCTAGGAAAAAGCTGACTGTAGGAAGAACCGCCTTGTTGGTAGATACTTAACAGAGTAAATATGTTGATGACAGCCAGAGTATTGGATCAGCACGACTGAATAAAATAAATTCAGTAATTCAGGCTACTTAGCACGTACAGAGAAATTCAAATAAATAGACATGGTAAAATTCTTTTTTTCCGGTCGTCTGCCAGTGCAGACCCAATCCTCAAAAATCGGTGCCCTCGTGCGATTTTGCAGGTTCAGCTAAACCACTGACTGTTCGTAGCATTAATCGTAAGGTCAAATCACAAAGCATATTTACTTCCTAAAGTTCCATATGAGCTGTAACCTACTAGGCAATACCGAATGATTTTTTATCTTAACCGGTAATGAGCATAGTCCAGAAGACTGTCTGACATAAATGTATAGGTAGTCATATCGATAAGGATTTTATGTTGTTATCTATGCTCGACAGGTACTACTTCGGATATAAGCATACACGATTAAATTAACCGACTTCTTAATAAATATTGAAGGTCGATATACATCAAAACATTTATGTGGACTTGCGATTCTTCTACAAAAGAGTGAATCCCTATAAAAGTGCTTGCGAATAGCTCCATATTTTGCCGGGAAAGCCATATGGCAAATATATTTTTGGATATTCAACGTCTGGTCCCTATAATAAAGGAGAGAATGAACACGTGAGCCACCGAC